TGTTATTTATTATATAAGAAATATTAAAAAATATTAAAGATTTATCTTAAAAATTAATTTTATTAAGATTAAGTATTTTTAGATAATATTATTATAAAGAATAAACAATTAAAATGATTTTATTATATTGTTAATTTTTTTTAAGTTTTAATTTAATATTTATATATTTTTTAATAAATTATTTATCTTTTATATATTTATAAATGTATTATTTATCAGTTATAATACCTTTAAATACTCTTTTTTTTTATTGTAATTAATAGATCAAATGATTATAAGTTAAACTTTATATTAATCTTATATAAGATTTATCAGTCTTTAAAATTTAAATTAATTCAACTTAATAATAATAAATATCTTGCACGTGATTATTTTAACTGAAACTTAATGCAGTAAGTAAATCATGTTATTGGCTAAAAACTTTTTGTGATTTCGTTGACTAACCAAATTTAAGCAGCCGAAACTCAGCCCACAAATTCAAAAAATTTTGTAACCCTAATTTGTTGCATTACCCCTTATTTTTAGTATTTTTCCTTTGCTCAATCTTACCTACACTGACTATAACTTTGACCCTCAGCAGAGTTTACCAGAGTTTGAAACTCAAAGAGATAAAGCCACTACTGTATCTTGTTGCGCCAAACATAACTACTTTTCACTCGCGTCGTTCTATTTCATATAATAATTTGTCTTACAAATTAACAGATCGTATTAAGGAAAGAAAATTAAACCTACTAGAACTTTTTTTTTGTGTACTCACGCATCGCACACAAAGGCAAGCTTTTGTAATAAAGCTATAATAAATAGGTATTTCTTTAAATCCTATATTCAATTTCGTTTTTTGTTTTAAAAATAAATGAAAAAAAAATTATCAATTATAACATATATAATATATAATTTCACGTTTCATTCATTCCTTTCCGCATCACTTCGTTCCTTTATAGTCTGTATAATGTCGTTAATTGGTCCTTTAATTTTATTATAACCCTTTTAGAATCTTTGATTTTCCTCACGGAAAGCCTCATACATTTCTACATTTCAATTACATAATTGCATTAACCTAACTTTTTTCAAAGAAAATAATGCCTAGCGACACGCGTACAACTCCTCAAACTGCTCAATCTCCAAACATCGTTGATACTATTGACCCTGAATTACTAGCACAACTTAATTCCAGAAGAGACAATGTAAGGCCTTCGAAAGTGATGTAACATTTTCGAAACCAACTATTTCAGTAAATTGTTTACATTATTATAAATGAATTTGTCGTAAATCTATTGTAAATTACTTCATTCAGCTTGTATACGCATATGAGCAAATAGCTCAAGCTTTGAGGTATGCAGCAAAGGCCTGCGACGAATTTCAAGCACTTATTCCAAGAGATGTAGGAATTATCCCTGGTGATATGAGCGTTTCAAGTCCATCAATTGGAAGTCAAAGAAAATTCAAAAAACCTCAAGCCAAAGATCCAAATGCACCAAAAAGACCAAACACTGCCTACATTCTCTTTAGCAATGAAATTCGGGCCGAGACAAAAGCTGCCAATCCTCAAGCTAATCAAAAGGAAATCGTCACTCTCATTGGACAAAAATGGAAGGCCTTATCTCGAGAAGACAAAAAGGTAAGAGATTAATCAATAGACCATATTGAGTAAAAATAATTAATTGTCTCCGTTTGACCCAAATTTGGCTTCCGGCATTACGTCATAGGTGTATGAAGATCGGTATTTTGCCGATAAGGAACGATATGACGAAGAACTCCGCGCTTACAGAGCTACACATGGTCAAGTTGAGTCACCTCCAGAAACTTCTTCAAACGAAGATAACGAAGTTAATGCTTCGGGTGTCGCATCATCTTCCAAACAAGCACAAGCTGGTACACCAGGCGCTTTTGTTTCTCAACTGCACATTTCTCAAGTTGATTCTACAGTTTTAGGTGGTCAAGCTTTGCCTATTTCTGTACCACCGGAAACTGCATTGCTGGAGACTTTCATTGAAAATTTCCCAGCAGATTCGACGTCTTTTACACAGAATGCTGTGGCAACAACTTCTACCGATACTAATCCGGTAAAGAAGCGTTGTTCTCCTGAGCCGGATATGGAGATTGGTGATTCTCAAAAACTAGACGACGAAGTTCCAGCTTCTAAACGAACGCGTGCATCAGCAAAGAAAAACCAGTTACCTACGGATCTAGATCCAGACTCTATTTTTACTCCGCCTGATGACCCAGAAGGAACACTAGAGCAAGATGAGACCCTCACTGGAACTAAGCGGCCAAGAACCAAACGAGGTGCGGCATCTAACGGAAGTTCATCGACAGCTCAAGGGTCAAAAACTGCTGCTTTGACTGCCCGCCGCAAGCGCGGCGGTAAACCTTAAGTTCCCTTTTTTTTCAAAAGAAAAATTTTATATTTTTTTTATGCGATTTACTTATCTGTTCTTTTTTTTTTTAAGTAAACAATAAAAGAAATTTTTCGTTTGGACAATAATGACAATATTTCTTGTAAAGACATTTCAATATACTAGAACAGAAAAATCAAAATCTCTTAATTTTTTTTTTTTTCCATCTCATTTCACACTTATTAGACTTAAAAAATTGATAGCAAAGTCGAATAATAATAATATTAGAGTATTTAGTTAGGGTTGTCAAGAATAGTAAATATTCAAAAAAAAAAAAAAAAAAAAAAAATTTGAATTAAATGATTTCACGATGTATATAATTTTTTTATTAAAAAAAAATTTTTATGGGGGTGACAATATAAGAAAAATAAATTGTTTGTCATTACATGGACAATTTATATCAAACATAATATATAAGTCATATTATCACACTTGATAAATATATACGTTGAAATAAAATTATTTATTATTATTTTTTTTTTTTTATATACATATATATATGTATATGTGTATATTATTTTTTATAGAATTTGGCGATTAATATAAATAAAAGGAAAAAAAAAAAATCACCAAAAATATAATTCAGCATCAACATCATCTTGAAAATCAAATTCACAAGATTGTAAAATCCATTGGATATCATCTCGTTCGCTAAATTCATGAACTCCTTCAAATCCAACTGAAGTCCAAATAGATCGTTCTTCATTCGTGGAGGAAGAAGACGATTTATTTTGTACCCGTTTAATTATTTCTATTTTTTTTTCTCCCCTGCGCCAGTTGTTGGTAACCCAGTTGAAACTTTAACGTAATCATAAATAAGCCATTGTAAAGCAGTTAATGTACCGATCATAAAAACACGAGTACCAAGCCCTCGCCAAATTCCTTTAAACCCAAGTTCTTTCATAAGGCGTAGAGAAAGTGCTCCTGTTGATTCTCCTTCAGCTTTCTTTACATTATTAAGCTAATTAACATGAAAATAAAATAAATAAAAAAATTGATAAATAAATAATTCAATACATGATGATGATGATGCTCAAGGATCCTCTTCTTTTCTTTTCTTACCTTGGAAACTAAAGTATCCGCAGGATGACTGACAATTGCACAAAATACACCAGCGATATATCCACCAAGGAAAGATACACCTAATTGTTCAAGTTTATTATAATCTTGTTTGGGTTTTCCGAGAGAGGAATAGATAAATTCTAAATAGCAAGATGATAAAGTAACATTAGTAAATGATGTGAAACAGATGATAAGAATTTTTTTTTTTTTTTTATTAGCACATACCGACGGTTTTTTCGAAACTAGCAAATTTCATCATGGTGTAAGGGACCTGTCGAGCCCAAAGGGGAGAAAGACCTTTGTAGAAACTAAATAAAAAAAAAAAAAGAAAAAAAAAAGGTTATATAAAGATTTGAATTATTATCAGGATAACGAAAATGATAAAAACACTAACCCACTTAAGCCTTCTTGTTTCAAAATTTTATTGAAACCTTCAGATGTAGATTTAGCAAATGGTTCGGTAGATGTTTGCATTCTCACTTTCAATGCCTCCCATGGACATAGAGCAATATCAGCGAGAACTTCAGCACTTAATAAAAAAGATTACATCAGCACGTGACATGACCAAAGCCATGGTATTAATTGGGTAATGCCATTAATTAAATTACCTTGCACTGGCAGACAAGTAAATAATGGTACGATATTTATGAGCAGCTTCTTCGCCAGCAATGTCGGAATATTTCTTCTTAAACAATTCATAAAAACCGTATTTTGCAGCACCTTGGAAGGAATATCCTATAAAAGTGGGTCCCCAACCGGTATATAATCCTCTTATTCCTTCACCACGGTAAATCTTTGACCATCCATCGAAATTACCCTTGTAAAGCTTGGCATCGACCTAAAATCAAAGATTTCTTTATAGGTAAAAATTATTCCAACAACAACAAACGGAAAGAAAAAAAAAAGACAGCAGGTAAATAATATATTATCAAAAGAAAAAAAATTTTTTATTAAATTTGTTTAGTTTTTTCCTTTAGTTAACATAGTATTAACCTAACAGCCGAGATTCTAAAAATTTGAAAAATTTCGAAGTTTATACCTGTCTACGGCACTTTACAAGATCAAGAGGGGTTACAAAGGTGTGAGTTAAACCACATGCTAAGACACCACCAAATGCGCACGTATAATAGTATTTCGGAGAGTAAAGTTCGATCGCTTTCTTATCCATATTGACAACGCTGGAAGTTTGAAAAGTAAGTCTCTACTTGAACCCGAAATATCGATTTTATCTATAAAAAAAAATTTTTTTTTTTTTTTTTTTCTCCATACTGATACGCGGAAAATTAACGAATTAAAAAATTGATTCAATCGACATATAGTACATATAATGAATCAATCGACATATAGAGTAGAAAACATTTTCATATGCGCGTTAAACGTGAAACAATTATCTCGGGTAATTCCGGGTATGTAACGTTGATAGTTTTGTGAATCATTATGACAGCGAAAAATTTTCTTTATTATTCGAAAAATAAAAAATGTAAATTATTTTTTTTTTTTTTTGATATTATTTATTTATTTAATTTTTTTTTTAGAATATCCTTAATTCATTTTGCGAATTAATTCATTAATACGATCTTCACGATCGCCGAAATCACCGCCTTCAATATAATGCCTAAATTTCCTGGTATGCCAGCCGCCAGTAGGATTGGAAAGTTTAAATGGCCAAAGGAAGTTGTTGACTTGTTTGAACTATTAATAAGATCGATAAATAACAAAAAACGATAAAATTGTAAATTAAAGAAGGTATTTCACCAGTATAAATAAATTTGAATTAATACTCACGTTAGGTCCAACTGTGAAAATCTCGTGAACCAAATCTTCAACACAAATAATACCAAATTTGCCCAGATTTTGTTCAATGATAGCGTTTTCGGTTATAGGAATGCGCTGTCTGCTTACTTTTGCGAATCCACGTTTGTAAATGAGTTCTCGGACTGACCTTTTAATATGAAAATAAAAATACAAAAAGATAAATACACCAGTTAAATCACGTGCCCAAAATCATAAAAGATTTATACTTACTTTAAATTGGGCTCACCATATGCAACGTAGGGTGTAACCAATTGAAGCATTTGTTTAGTTGCTCTGGTTAGTCTAACAAATATTCCGTTGTTGATTTGTAGGAGACGCAAGAGTTGAAGAATCTTGCGTGGTTTAGGTGGAATATGATTGATACTATATTTTTTTTTGAAAAAATAAATAATTAATTAATTAAATAAAAAAAATAAATTAATTTCACAGATTTATAATATATGATAATTTACCCTTTAATACGAATAACAAAAGCCAATTTTGGTTGAGCTGGGACATAAAAATTACCACATGCTTTTGCTTGACGGCGCAATCGAATTTCTTGACGTTCTGCAGCACGGTATTCCTTAACGTACTGTTCTGCACGTTTGAAAATTACTCTACGAGTCTTCTTGGCTGCCTAATTAAAATGTTAAGATTCCATCCCAAGTAAAAAATTTATTAAATCTCAAATAAATTAAATTTTTTTTTTAAAAAAAAAAAAAAAATGATGAAATTAAAAAATTGGAAAATTAGTGGATATCAGTCCCGAAAGATGGTATTATGTAAAATCAACATCGCCGAAGCTAGCATTACTAGGGGTATCCCCTTATCATCATATGACCAATTTTCCCAATAAAAATGAATCAATCAAAATAATTTTTTTTTTGCCAAGATTTCTTTTTGATACAAAAAAATTTTAAAATTAATTGATTAAAGAATTAAACTCCTAATATACCTTGCGTTTCTCTGCAAGGGAAGCTGCCTTTTCCGCAGCAATCTTCTCCTGATTTTTCCTCTTTTTTAAGAGAGTTTCAGGAACTCGAATCTCCTCAGCAGTGGGCACAGTTCTATAAAGTTGAAATTATAAAAAAGAAACTATCAATATTAAATATCACTATGCATTATAATGAACTTATCAAAATTAGCTCATCAATTCTACAATAAATAGCTTAATTATAACTTACAATCCGGTGGCCATTGTCAACTATTTGTGAAAAGAGAAGGATCGATTTTTTTTATTGCGATTCATCTTTTTATGAAGGCAAAAAATTTTCATTATCCAATCATAATGAATGATCAAGTTTGTAGTAATTCATAATCCACGTGATATATAAGAATATTCGAATGTAATTCCGGCTAAAAAATTTTGATATTCAAATATTTGTTTAATTATTTTTATTGCTCAAAATACAAATCATACAAATCAAATATAAATACAATCAAAGAACGCCGTTAAATTTTTTTTTTTTACAAAGTATTTCTATATGACAAATTTATGTAACATGAAACTTCAACAGATACCCACCATAATAAATAAATTTAATAAAATCCAGAAAAAAAAAAAAAAATTGTTTCAGAAGGAAAGTTTCCATCTCAAGGTCTAATTATCAAAAGAGACCAAGTGTGTTTCGATAACTTTTACTAGAAAGTTTAAATAAATAAATCGATAAAAACTATGTATAGATTAAAGGATAATAAATTCTTATTTGAAAGACATAATGGAAAAAGAAAAAAAAAAAAAAAACGACTTTGGGTGTCCGGTTGCTAAATAAGGTTAGAGTAAGTCATATTAGGGATTAGGATTAGATCGGGTAAAAGCGGAAATAATTTCCCATCGCATATAGAAAGTTCATTCACTTGGGAAATAAATACACGGAATCCCCAACTTCTTGCGTATATAAAATTTATGAAATGGAAAAAAGATGATTATATAATTTACTCTTAAACCTTTGTTAAACCTTCTGCTGAAAGTTTCACCGTGATTGAATTAGGAACACTTCCACTTTCAGAAGATTTATCAACTTTGTTAACTCCGTTTAACTTATTAACACTATCATTTTCGGGTGCTGGATAAACAAATTCCGTGCTACAGCCTTCGCCCTCATCATTGTCATCATTGTCATCTTGTTGATAAACAAAGATTTCATCATCTTCTTTTGTGTTATTGTTCAATTCAATACTCGAGGTTGCTTCCGTAGGAGTTGGAGCTTGATAGACGAAAGGTTCCTCATCCTCCTCATCTTCCTCCTCCTCCTCCTCCTCTCCCTTTGCTGGATAAGTAAATTCTGAATCATCATCATCGTCTATTGTCGTACTCGTAGTAGGATTGCTTCTAATTTTATTCTTTTCACCCATTTCTAATTCCTTAATGGAGACATCAATATTATTTCCCATGTCTGGCGCTGAACTAGATAAACTATAACGAGGAACGAAGGGTTGAGCATTAGGATTAAGATTGGTTAACGTAGAAGAAGGCGATAAAGAATGTTGATGAGGTTTATGGCTTGCTGCTTTTGGGATCGGTATAGCTTTCGTTTTACTTGTAAAGCTAGAAGTTGTTGTTGTTTCATCATTTGTAACATTAGAAGAATTTGTACCAACAGAATCATTTTCAACAATATCCATGTTAAATTTAAATTCTTCTGTGGATTTCATTGCAATTGCGATCTCTTCGGATTTAGAAATTTCTCGTGATGCGGAAGTTGAAGATGCACCATTTACAAAAGATGTTGATTCTCTTCGCTCGTGATTATTCATAAGAGAAGCTTTTGAATGTTTATCAATTAATCCTGAAAAACTATTATTATGTTGTTCTAATTTATTAGGAGAAGGCTTATTAGTTTGAGATCTTGATCCATTGGTCATCTCATGATTCGATGATGAACCAGCTTCGACGTTATCTCCACTATCTTCGCTACCGATGTCATAGCGTCCCACGCTAGTATTTTCAGATCCTTCTTCTTCATCTTCATTCTCATTTTCAGTGCAAAGTAATTGCTCATTTTCTCCAAGTGGTTCAATAACTATGCTCTCATCGATTAATTGTTGTTTAGTTAAATAAACACGAGATACCAGCCAATGATGCAATTCAAAGTTTCCATTACCCAAGCAAGAGAGGTCCAAAGGCAAATTAATGGGGGTTCCATCCACCGTGATTGTATCTCTTACACGTGAATTTGAAGGAGAAACCTTACGATTACCATTAAAATTATTTGATTGCCATTCATCTTCATCAGTACTAATAACGTTAGATTGGCATTGCTCAAGAAGTGAGAAAATTGATGCTAGTTTACGTTGACCCGGAGCTGAAAGAATTACTTCGGTGTTATCTCCAGATTTACCACTAGTGTAAGATTGGGTTATAGCTTTAATCTCCTCATAGTGAGGTTGCATCCAAGGAATAACAACCATTCCTTGGTTAACATCGCGGAAAGATTCCATCTTTTGAGAGAGTATTTCCTTATATGCTTTGTAATCATCATCTTCTTTCTTAATATGTGAGGATAACTCTTTAAGATGTTGACTAGTACGACTGGGTAAACCAACCCATAATCGTCTTATTCTACGGACTTCCGGAGATGTAAGAGCTTTCATTATAGCAGCAAAACTGTTAAAATTACGATGAACGTTTAATAAATAATATGCGATTTTTACAGCGTGAGCAATAATATTTTCCCTAGAATTCTGAGCACTACGTGATGGATTCATCGAAGATCGGGCTGTATCAGCATAAATCATGAACTGGTGAGTGAAACTATTAGTCAAATAACGATGGAAATCCATGCACGCCTGTGCTTTTTTATCTTTTAAAGTTAAATCTTTTTTTAAATTTTTTAAATCGACTTTTTTGAATAAATCACTGTCAATAATAGTCAACTGTGTAGAAACGTCATTGGGGTGATCCCAGTAGATGAGTGTGACCTCAGCAATAGATTGGATCTGATTATTGACTTGGTCGAGCTTGGTTTTCTGTTGACGGACTTGCTCGTCTAATTTACGATGATTAGAAAGATTGTTATTACCATCTGAACTTTTTTGTTTAGCTATGGAAACTTTTTGATTGACAGTGGCAAGTTCATGAACATAATGCATGGATTGTCGAGTGAGTGGGGAAAAGGGAATAAGAGGTAAATATTGTGGAGTAGGATTTGGTGTAATCATTGTAGCTGTATCAGCAATGCTTGATGGTTGAAGAGGGGAAAAGGCTCCATTTGTGGTCCTATTTTGTAAAATATCCTCAAGCCTTTGAACACATAACTTGAGCTGAGTAAACAGCTGGGCAGCGTTATGTGGTTTAGTTTTTACAGTATCTAAATAAAAGAATAGAAAGTTATGTTAACTCTGATGGTAATAAAAATATTTAAATTAAATCCGTCATCTCAAAGTAATAAACTTAAACATACCTCTACTAGAGAAAGAAACCTCATGATTAAGTTTGTATATCAACGCGGAAGTTGCTTTTAAATAGTTGGAGTACGAGTCCTAAGTATTGAAAAAGATAGTTTATACGATCACTTTTTAAAATAAGAATAATACAACTGATTTGGTTAAAAAACTTTTTTAAAAAAAAACTACCTTAAAGTTTCTCATACCTTATAATTCCCGTTGTTATAGTCGCCTGCTGCTGTATGATAAAGGCCTTCCCAGCCACTCATTGTAAAGGTTTAAAAGATTGAGTAAAAAAAAGAATTGAATAATTTTTTATTAATAAAAATTATTTTTGATTATTTAAAATAACAAAATTTTCTTATTTTAGCTCCTTGGGATTATTCATGCATGAAAAAAAGTTGTTGCAGTTTGCAAAGCGAAAACGAAATCATTATGGTGTAACAGTACACAAGCAACGTTGCTTGTTTTCGCAAATAAGGTTTTAATAATAATTTCGCCATTTTTAAAGTTTTTTACCAAGTTTTTCAGATGTTTTAATTATGATTTAGATTTCATCTTTACCTTTTATCAAAAAACCAAATATTTTTCTTTCTCTAAAAATGGATTAAAATGAACCTTTTCTATTTATCAATCATCTAAAAATGGATTAAAATGAACTTTTTAAAATTAAAAGATTAAAAAGGTTTATTATTGATCTAATTATATAATTATATCAATATTTATTAATTAAATCATAATCTAATTTTAAATCAATCTTAATCTAAACTTAAAAAGAATTTTTAAATATTAAAATCAATTATATAAATTAAAAATAAAAATTTTTAATAATTAATTAATTTAAATTATAATTATAATTAATAATATTAATATTAAAGATAATATTTTAATTAATAGTTATAATAGTTATAATTATTAATTATAACTAACTATAATTATTATAACTTTATTATTAATTAATATATTATCATTATATTAACTAATATTTATAAGCTATTTATATATATTTATTATTATAATAAAAAAAATATGTTTTAATTAGCTATCAATAATAATATATTATATCAATAGAAAAAGAGAAAAATCTAAATTTTAATAAAATTATTTTATTGGTTTATTTGACTAATCAAAATCATATAATTAAAATTAATTTAGAAATTAATATTAATAAAATTTTCAGATTTTTTCTTTCATATATTAATAAATATAAGAATTATTTATTATAATAAAATTTAATCTTTTTTAAGGTATTTGAATTTTATATAATTATATAAATATTAATTAATTATTGAAATTTTCTTAAATTTTTAACTTTGAAAATTTAATATATTAATAATAATTATTTTATAATAATAAAATACTAAAAATAAAATATATATTAAATTAAAAATTTATAAAATTATATTTTATCAATTCTAAAATAAATTTAAATAAATAATTTTAATTAAAATTAATATAAATTTATTTTTAAATTCTTTTAAATAAATGAATTTATTGCTAACTTATTTTATATTATGAGAATGAAACTAAAAGTAGTTAATTTAATAGTTAAAGCTTTTTTTTCTTTATAATAGTATAAATTATAGCAGATTTTAATGTTTGTTTAACGGATTTTTTAGCTTTAATTATAAGAGTAGAAAATATTTAGAATAATATTAATAATAAAAACTTTTACAATTCTAAATAGTAATACCTATAATATTACTAAATGTAATTTACATAGTATAATAACTTATTCCACTTGCCAAAGTTGATATCATAACTAAATGTGAAAAATTAGTTTTTTTAGATTAATTGAATATGAATCCATTATATTATATTTAATTGACAATCTATATCAACTATAATATTAAACCTAATACAAGATACATAATATGACTTTTTTGAAATCAGTATTATAATAATAATTATAAAAATATGAAAGTATTAAAAAAAGATATTATTCTATACTAACTAATATTATTAATTCCAATTTCTTCTCATCAAAAATTTTATCTATCACTTTTTTTATTCTTTCAGATTTTTTATTTAAATTAGTTTCACTATTTAAATTAGATTTTTTATTTTAAGTTAATTTTTAACCATTTGATATTATAATTAGCATTATAATATATTGATTTATATTTTTCATATATTTATTATAAGAGTTTGTGTAAATTTTAAAAAAGATTTTTTTTTTATTTTTTTCTAATTCAAGTTTATAAATAAATATTTTTTTTTCACAAAGTTACTCAAATTCAATATATTTCATTTAAGATTATAAATCAAAAACTATTTTTTTAAAATTAGTATTGAAAATGATTAAAAATTTGAATTTTGATAAAAATGATAAAAAAAAATTTTATAAACTACATCTTGTAATATTGTTATAATAAAGCAGCAGGAAGGGCGGGCAAACCATTTGTTTTCACCTCTGGAACCCAAAAATAATAGTTATCAAAATATGTATTTCAGACCCTCCCTGCTACTAAAATGATTACTTATTGATTCGCTATTCTAGAGCTCTTAAAATATAATTCTACTATATCAATAAAAATTGTATTCTTAGAATGTATTCTAGCTCTTCTCTCTCAATAAAATTACTAATTTGTTTTCTTACTTTTGCGCACCTTCCTGATTATAATCCTGATATAATAAAAAATTACATCTAGTAGAAAATATGTACAGACCGAAGTAAATTGATTATAAATCTCAAGCAGATGAGTGCATGAATAGTGTACTCTAGCCTTCTTTTACTCATTAAAATCGTAAATTTGTTTTCTTACTTATGTATGGCTTCCTGATTATAATTCTGATATGATAAAAATTTACACCTAGAAGTATAACCTTAGATGAAAAAAAAATAGGAGGGGGTAGCCTCCTAATCCGCATACTATAATGGTAGCACTTGCTAAAAGAAAAAATATAGTAGGAATATAAGCAAGCCCTTTAGGGTGAAGCGAATATGGATGCTATATTTTTTCGATCTTATGCTACCCTATTCTAAAGTATACTAATATATGAGGCAAATATGAATACAGGAGTTGCGGAACACTGAAGGTGCGGAGCATGTAACCAAAATATGGAAACAATTAAGTTAGGCTATCTCCTAAAGGTCTTGACCGAAGGAAGGTGAAAAAAAGGCTATCATGGTATAAAAAAAATCAGAATAGCATGATGTAAAAAAAAACTTATCAGCTAAAATAATCTAGCTCTACTAATCTCCAAAGGGGTCAATACCCATATCCTTACCATCTGAGTCATAAATCAGAGCTTTAGAAATGTTACCAGAAGTAACGATTCTGGATTGAAGGGTTATAACCTCATCACCAGGCTCAAAAATCGGAGCTTCATCTCCAGTATCTTCTGATTCTTCATTCATAATTGGAGCAATAGTGCTGGTCACCCGTAGTACTTTGATATGCTGTGAATCCTGCTCTCCTGCTTCTTCAGTTTTGTTTGCTGACAGCTCTAGAAGCAATTCATCAATTTTCATCTGAATTAAATCATCAGCATTAGCTTTATTCTGAAGTCTATTAATATATTGGGTCACATAGTATCCACTAGCATGCTTTCTGCAAAGGCTGGGTTCAAAGCTAGTCGGCTTGTCACAAACCTTACAGGGAATATGAGGTTTAGCTTTCCAATGTTCAAAACACCCTTCAGGCTGACGACAAGTTCGCCCACAGACGTATCCAATTATGAGTAAATAATTGTAATAATATTCGCCTATCATAGTAATAAGAAATAAATAATTTATTTTAAACAAAAGTTTTTGCTATATTAATACAAACATTCAATACTTATATAAAATGGTTAATTATAAAGATATCGAATCAGCATTAGTTGAGATAATCAAAGTAGCATATAGTCAAGACACGAAAAAATATGACAAAATGGGATTAATATATGTAGGTTATTTGAAAACAATGCGACATAAAAAGGACCCAGATGATCATTGCAGATATGTAGCAAAGCAATAAGCTCCAAATGAGAAAGCCTATAATGAAAGAATAGCAGATTACAAAGACTGGTATAATGAAGAAGTGTATCAGAGTATCGAAAAGTTATACAAATTATATCTCTTATTCGCGAGCCAAGAAGAGGTTATACAAAAAAGATCTATAGAAGAAGTAAACGAAATGCTTAAACTTTATGAATTAGAAATCTAATTCGTGAGCACCCATCAGGTGGCAATTCTGTGTCAGGATGAATGATTTGAAGCTTCTCTCTTATAAAGGATCTTTTCGGGCCATTGTTTTCATCATCTATTAGCCAGTACAAGACCAGCTGATTTTTTTGTACTAGAGATTCACGAATATGATAAATTTGAGGAGACCAATTACAATTAGTTGCACGTCGTCTCCCACCTTCTAATTCACCAGGATTAAGCAAATATCTTACTAAAACATCATGAGATAATCTAGGCTCATCAAACCCAATAGGTCCTTCTCGTAGCTTGGAAGCTTTAGCAAAGACATGTTCTTTTTTTCGAGCTTCAGCAGGAGAAATACCTAGAAGTCGAGTTACAGAATTGTCAAGCTCTACAAGAAAAATTGGAAGGTTTTTTACCCAAGCTCGACAGTGCCCAGTAGGAGGTAATCTCATTTCAACACTATCTTGAATAAAGAATGCCTATTCTTGAAGTGTACGATTAAATCTCTCAACAATACCCATAGATTCTTTAGAATTAGCTAGTTGAATTTGAATACCAAGTTCGTTCATTAGTATGATAACATTACCTTAGAATTCTACGCCCCCATCTACCATTAAAACTTTAACTTTAGACTAGATAATTAGGCATATTCAGGAGTTAAAAAGTTTCACAAATCCTTTAACCATACTAGCAGAATCACGTCTAGTTAAAGGATAGGTCCATTTAGTACAGGTAGCAATATCTACACAATTAAATGCAAATTTATAAGTTTTATTTCCAATTCGATCATAAGGCATATAGCATAAATCAGCTTGAATAACTTCCATAGGTACGGTAATATTATTAAAAGATGCTTGTGGAATATACTTAGGCCGAAGCTTGTGAATCTGATACAAAGCCTGTTTGTTAAGCCAATTTTTTATTACGGCCAAAGTAAACACATATCTGGCTCTCTTACAAGCAGTTTGCATTTTTTCAGCAGTCCGATAATATCTCTCAGGTCTGTAATAAAGTTTCTGGAAAGCAAGATCCTGATCTAAGTCTCGCACTTTTTGAGGATCGATAAAAATAACCGGTCTTTCGGCTTGGCGCTCTCCCATTCCAATTTTTTTATATAATTACGAAAAAAAGTTG